AGAGAGGCCTTCTTGACTTTAAAGTCACAAATGACAATCTTGTCTGTAGAGATTTGAGACTCAGGGGAAAAAAAAAGGAAAGTTGACTTTTGATTAGGGTGAAAGTAGGATGCTGCTGTGGGAATCATTTTAGGATGAGTGAACAGGGAACTCCCCTGCCACCCTGGTGAGGATCCTGTAACTCTACTGTCACCAGCCAGAATAATTTATCTTGATAAACTGAAAAACTGTCCTGGTAGTGTTACTGAGACACAGAATGTCAGCCAGATGAGGCTCTTGGCCACTTACACCATCTCCACTGTGATTATACTACTTCATGCCTTTAATTCATGGTGATGCAGCTGTGTTATTCCTGGAAGAGACACTGAAATCCTTCCAGGTATTCATCAATTCCCACAGCAATGAGTGATAAGAGGTTGCTCTTTCTACAGACACTCTCCACTCAACTATAAATATATCTGAGAAACCACCTGTACTAGAAATAGACCTTAACTTATTTAGAAAAAAGAATTAGATTAAACACTTTCAAACACCAGCAAGATTTTACCATCAGATTAGGAAACATCACCTAGGATGTATCTGGCAATGCCTCACGTAAAATAAGATGCATTAGACAACAGAATCCTGACAGATTTGAACTTTTGGAGTCGGACTGAAACTCTCAGCTGTCAACACTAGACAGGCACAGAAAAATGGGACAGGTGTTTAATACAGTGGTAGGGTGTGTGCCCTCAGAGTGAAGCCTCTGGTGCCTCAGATTCTGCCAGCTGGTAGTAGGTGCTTGATGTCACAGAGACCAGAGTCACCTACAAACTGCAGAAGTGAGCAAGGAGAAGATTTTCCAGGAGGCAGTGGCAGAAGGAGAATTTCTCCAGCGTAAGCTTTCCACCACTCAGGATATGTCTCATACTCCCACTCCTTGTAGTGTAATGCTAAAACCCCCTCTGTTCTAAAGGAATAAAATGTATGAATGCACGAGTGAGTGAATGCATACATAGACTGTTATCTGAAAATAGGAACTACTGTTTTAAGTTCTGTTTTACTTAATTATTCATTATTTACTGCTTTAATTATGCATGAAAAGTCTCAAGTACTTCTGAATTTTCTTTAGGCAATGCAGACACTATGGCATGCTAAGAAAGTAATATATTGAGATGTCTCTTTCTTCCATTAGTCATAAGAGAAACATAAATTACAATTCAGCATATAATTCTCTGCTTCTTCACACAATGATTTAAAGTTGACTGAGCACAATTACTTTGTACTCAGCATATTTACTGCTGTATAAAACTTTCTCTCTCTCATAAAGAAGAGGCATCCAGGCACTTTTTTGAACAATAGCATTGTAAAACATTTTCTGATGAGGCTTTTTGTGAAAACATGCTTTATCTTTCAGTTGTTTACAAATCACTTTAGCAGTGATTTGGGAAAGAGCTTTAATATGTGATAATGTTCCTCCTTGAGCAGGAACTTTGTTTAAGTGCTTTTCTGAGCAGAATTGTGTTTATCTGTCCATTTATCTGAGTTTAAAGTAGGAATTTATTCTGGTATCTCAAAACATTTTGAAACAAAGCTACTGAAGGGGAGCTATAGATCACTTCCCTCATCTCTCCATCTGCAACATTTGTACTTTCTAACACACCCTGCCCCATCCTTGTTTGCCACACTGGCCGGACAAGACACAGCACATGTTGTGCTTGTACAAGACCATAAATATATATATTTTCTTGGCTAACCAGCCAACAGGCAGGCTGAGTGGTCAGTCAGCTGGTGTGTTTAATACAGAAAGCAATCCTCCCATAGCTGAACTTTGCTTTACAACTTGCAGACCTAACCAAGGGCTGGGTGACTCTGAAGGGTCACTCTTCACAATTCTGCAGAATCTTTTTCACTGTTACCAAACTCACATTGACCAAGTCTGTTAATGCTTTAAACATCAGATTACAGAGAGTTTTGAGGGATGCAGTTTGCAAAGTCTTTTTTAAGTGTTACTTTCCTTCAATCTGCTCCTTGCCACTGTTAAAGCTGACTACTGCACTTAATTTTGTTGATACTTGTGACTTGCATGAGGAGGCAGTTAAGATTTTAATATTAGTTGTGGTAGGGATCTGTGCATAAAAATCAGCTTTAATCACTTTTGAATTAGTTCACTTCTCCTGTCAGCAAATATTCCCTCTTTGATGCTCTCAGACTACTCTATTCACTAATGTGCCAGAATACAATTCTTCAGTTTCTGTGGATGCCCACGGAACTCTTCACTGAATTACTTTATTCAGCAAAATGCCAACAGCAACATTGATCTCCAAAAAGAGAGAAAAGAAAACCCCCTGAAGAACAAGCTAATAATTGTGCATGTTTAATGACGAATCTGCTAATTTCACACAAACCATCCAAAAGGAAAGGCCACTAGAGGGAAGTAAATCCAATATGCTGAAAGAAAATAAATTGCCAGCTACTCTAAATTATTGTAGCTAACAGAATGGTCTGGAGTTAAATCAGCAGAAGATTTTGGTCTATATTCTTAACAAAGATATGAAAACTGAATAAAACAGTTTATGTATTTATAAAGAGGTCTTGTACTTCATGCAAAGTGCATACCAAAACCATTAAAACAGTATGTAGGAAAAGACTGCATATAAAAAGGTAGTATGAACATGGGATAAATATGTTGTGTAGATATAACTTACTGCACACCTGTATGTTTCACATTAGACACACAGCAAGTGAAAAAAAATAAAAGGATTTAAACCAGTATCTTTGGACTTCTGTTAAAGCAATCCTTGTAAAAATGAATATATTTTTAATTTGTTTCCATGTCATGTGTTTAATCTTGGATCTTTGTTTTCTATGAATATGTGCACAAAACTGCAGCATCATGCAATAATTACTGTCCATTTCATCAGAATTAAGATTACAAGGAAAGACTGCCAACAGTGTGCATTTAATAAAACCTCTGCCATGTTTCAAAGCTTTAGCTCTATAACTTACAGTTCTGAGGTTGCATACCCTAACTTTTTCCATATTCCTTCTTATTTATGACTAAAAGTAACTCAAAAAGATGTCCATTTTTCACTCCATACTTTCTGTCAACAAAAACTCTGAATTTTCTTCCACGTTTCATACACCATTGCATTTTTTCTTGTCCTTTTAAATATATAGTCACCATGCTTATAGTTTTATACAACTGCACAGCCTATAATCCTACAGAAATGGTTTTATCTTTATAACTACATTTTATAGATGACTCCATTTCATTTATTACAGTGCTTTCTCACGCAAAGCTGTCTTTTTATATCCAGATAAACTGACAGATATTCTGAAAATCTGGTCTTAAATCCTCTGAAGCCTTTCCAATAGAATTTTTAGTAATGTAAGAATTATTAAAGGGAATGCAAACAGTCTAGAGTTTACTGTCAGTGTGTCAAAAACTATCAAAACATTGGTCTTTTCCCTGTTTTGAGTAAACTGCAGAGAAAATCTATATTTTTAAACCAGGGACAGACAACATCAAAAGACATTATTTTTTAAAATCCTACCACTTAAATACACATCACAAGCTGTGTTCACACAGCTGTTATCCACTTTAAAAATGAACTGTATTTCAGGTGACCTCCACCTGGGTGAGCTTTGTGACTGCATTTAACACCACGGAGCAAAACATCCAAAAGGAAGTTCACACAGGGGAAGTTTCTGGCACCTCAGTTTCTCCATTTAGTGAGAAAGGAAAAGGGAGATGCAGGTTTCCAACATGATACATTGCCTCAGTGCTTCAGGCAATTCTCAGTGCAAGGCCTATATATCATTAGGAATCTTATATAATTAGCTCTTCTGTTATCATCATGGACAGTGAGTGAGTGGGTTTTGTGTTTTTTCAAATCAATTTTCATGAAAATTATTAGTATTGCCATCACTGTCATTATTATCATCATCACAGCAAGCTGTTCATTTTTGTATGCCCAAAGGCAAACAAGTCATTACTTACTCATCGACAAAACCACTTGTTCCAGATACAAAGGTAAGCAGATTTTTGCTAGGCTGATCAGTGAAAAAACCCAAGGCCTTCCCTACAAGTGGAACATAACAGGATCCTCCTGAACATCAGCACTTTCACTAAGCAGAAACATATCATCAAATGTGTTCTACTCCAAACAGTACTGCCAGCTCAGTTCCTGTTCTACATTAAACACTTCAGCTGCAGTTGCAATGTCACTGCACAGCAGGTGAAACACATTTCTGGAACAAATGTCAGCAAGGGATAATTCTGAAATAACCTTCTTGTCTAGAGTTACACAAGCCAGAAGAGAGCATTGCTATATGGATTGCATTGCTGCTAACCTGTGATGCTGTTTCCTGGCACAGTAAGTATTTCTAAAGGAGAAAAAGTTGCAGAAATAAACGAAAAATAGAGAGCTCTTTTAGTTTCCCGTGTTTCTCACAAAGATTCACCTTGGACATGAATTCGAACTGAAATGGGGGCAAGAAAAAGCTCAAAACAATAATGCAAAGTTTACGATTAAAGGAATAGAAATGAATCTATTAGGATAGCTCACCTGAGGAAATGGCTTATACAGATGCAGAAGTATCTTAGAGGGAGGCATGCTGAGTTAGTGCTATGAAACACAGATACCAAGGAAAGTGAGTTCACTTTCACTCTGCCTCTGAAGTGTGGAATTGTAAAGGACAATCTGTGGTGCTATACTCTTGCAAAACTGAAATTGCAAAAGCACCAGAGAGATTCTGGTCCTGGTGAACCAGTGACACAGCCGGCCTCAGATGCTACAGCTTGCACCTCCTTTTGAACAGGAAGGTATGGGTTTGTGCCCTGTGTAACGGGGTCAAGGGACAACTTAACGCCCTCATCAGCAGAAGCTGGAAGCCCAAATGGAAGACACTTAAAAACCATTCAGCAATCTAGAAAACACCCGAACCCGCTGACCCAGGCTTCCAAGAAACAAAGGCTCCCCAGGGTGACAGCGACACGGTGACAGACCGGCACTTACCGTCCTGGTCTGTGGTGACCGTGATGGCTGTGAACTGCTTGGGGGAGAAGCTGAGCTCCGAGACGCCGTTGGTGGCCTCGATCTCGAAGGTGTAGTTGACGTGGGACACGAAGTCGAGCACGGTGACGGAGGAGTTGATGAGCCCCGTGTGGCGGGGGATGAAGCGGATGCCGCCGCCGCACATCTCGCACTGGCTGGCGTCCGAGCCGCACTTCTTACACACCACGCTGTAGGTGAGGTCCTTCCTCCCGCCCGTGTCGCTCGGGGGGCTCCACTCCAGCATCAGAGCCGTCTCGTTGATGTTGAAAACCACGTTCCTCGGAGCAGAAGGTGGCCCTGCAGAAAAGGAGGGGGGAAATCTGTTAAGACAGTTTTCTACTTCGGAGGAAAAAAAAAAATTGCCTTAAGGCAATTACTTGCAAATAAAAGATACAAGAGTAGATTCGATGTAAAAATTAAAAGTTCCGCTCCATCATCCTTGAAAAAAAGCAGGAACAATGAATCGGTGACATCATCAAAAGCTGAATAATCAAAATAACTTAGAATTAATTCTGAAATAATTTAAGGCAGCACAAAAATAACTTGGGAATGTCAAACCTAGATTAGATAACACAAGTTTTCAATAAATGCCTCTTGATGCTGTAGGATACTGAGGCAGAGCTCTAACCACAAAATATATATCCTTATTTTATGCCTAGTAATGTAGGATTTTCTGAGACCTAAAATCTTTGACATTTGTAAGAGGCAAATTGAGTAATAAATAAATAACAGCTTTGGAATAATGACAAGAGGCAAAATTGTTTGTATTAGTTCTACACTGCCAGATATTTCTTTCTATCCTTCACTGCTTATCCCCAGGGATTTCTTTGCTGCTGTTCATTAACAGGTTTGGGTGGCAACAGGCCAAGACTATTAGGCATAAGAGACACTTTACAAGTTTTCTTTCTTTCTTTCCCACCTGGCATCTCCTCAGCATCAGGATAACAGGTGAAGACATCAACTTTTCAACTTAAAGGTCTAAAAGGATGATCAGGAGGCAGGAGAAAAAGTACTTCTTTGAGGCTGTGAGGAGGTGTTAGAGCTCTCTGTCACCAGTGACCCACTTCCAATTTCCAATTCCAATTTCCCACTCCTTGCACAACAGTCATGGAATGGCCAGCAAGTTTTAACCTGCTTGCTGACTTACTGTGTAGGATCATAGGGAAATCATCATAAATATACAGAATGATTTAGTGATTGCCCTCTGTAGTGAGCACTGATGAGGCACCCCGAGTCCTGTGTCCAGTTCAGGGCCCCTCACTTAAAGAAAGGCATTGAAGGGATGGAGAATGTCCAGAGAAGGGCAATGGAGCTGGGGAAGATTCTGGACTTACTGCTCTCCAAAACTCCCTGACAGGAGGGGGCAGCCAGATGGGGGCTGGTCTCTTCTCTTGGGCAACAAGTGACAGAAAAAGGGAAATATCCTCAAGCTGTGCCAGAGGAGAGGTTCAGGCTGGACATGAAGAAGAATTTCTTCACAGAAAGGGTGGCCAGGCATTGGAATTTACTGTCCTCAGAGGCGCTGAAACCAAATTCCCTTGAGGTGTTCAGGAAACCACGAGATGTGGCACTTAGTGCTGTGGTCTGGCTTGCAAGGTGCTGACTGGTCAAAGGTTGGACTCAGTGATCTTGGAGATCTTTCCAACCTTAATGATCCTATAATTCTATGATTCTATATCAGATTTCACAGTCGAACAGAAGAACCTAATTACTTTTTAGATAGGAATTAATGAAGGGGTGAAGGAAAGGTACAAATTGTTACAGGATATCTGAATCATCTTTCGATTTCTTATTGTATTCTTCTTTTTCCACTTTTAACATATTTCAAGCAAACACTTTGAGATGCACAATTTTCAAAACCAATTTGGATGTAATCCCAAAATAGAAATTATTGTAAGAAACATGGACTTGGAAAAATGTGAGGCCTTATAATCCAGGTGTTGATATATATGAGATGACTCTGGTAAACCCAACTGCTGATGTCTGGGGTTTTCAGGCTGAATTAGTTGAATAAGCATTATATTCCCAGTTCTCAATAAAATCACAGTGCTTCACCAATGGTTAGCAGAACTTTGAAAACTTTCAGCTTGCTTTGCAGTTTTTCATGATTTACAAAACTGCCAACAGGACTTAGGCATAAAGTTTTGATAGAGATCTGGTAAAACTTTGAGTGAGCTTTTCCTTATCTCAGAGTTTCCTAAGCAGACTGAAAGGCTATAAGAAACATTTGCAAATGACACCAGCCAATTTTTACACAGAGTGTAGCATTCATAATTTTTAAGTGTTGCATTTTATTTACTTATGTGGCATAAGCATCGGTATAAAACCTGGAATGCTTGTAAATAAAAAAATTGGTATCAGGTGGGATTGATAATGTGAATAATAAACATTAAGCTCTTCTGTGAGCTGTAATTCAGCTACTTTTTAATTTCTGGCATTTACTTGTAACTTTTAATAAGAGAGTAATTAACTTTTCCCTGAAATAAATGATGAGTTATCTGCTGGATTTCAAGCACTTGGTATTTAAAATATATGGAGGTGTTACACTGCTTTGCATTTTTTTAGTGGGCAAGAAAGTTTAAAATCTTTTGAATGGATGAGCGTTTATTAATACATGTATCTATCCAGAGTTTATGGTTAATAGATCACCAAACTTCACACAAAATAGTTATGAGGATGACAGTGCTAGCTACTCTGGAAAACAGTTCTGAGATCGGAATAAGCTAAAACCAGCACACATTACTTCTGCTTCAGTTCTTATTATTTATGTTCAGAAGACAGGAATAATTATATTTCCTCTAAAACCATGCTGTGAGAATTAAATAATGACTGGGTCTTAACAAATTCCCACTGTTAAAACCATGGAGGAGTTTTAGGAATATGGAGGATGAGCCGTAATCGCACTTCCATATGTGCATAACTTGAAGTAGATGAGTAATCCCCTTGAAATAATTGGTAATATTCACACTCTTAAAACTAAGCAGCTGTGTAATTGCTTGAAAAATTGGAGCCCATGTTTTAAAACTGGCTTAAACTTAATCTTACATAAACTATAGATATAATGACAACAGGTCATCAAAGCTCAAGCTTTTTTGATATTATTTCATCAGTTTTGGCAGGCCCAAACAGGAATTAATATGAATCTGGGCAATAGGAGAGTTTTGTCTGGCTTTGTGGATTTTAATTTTCTCTCAGATTTTCCTTGTACTGAATGGAATGGCATCTATAGAAGAACCAATACAGTAAATAAAATACTCCCTTTAAAAAATGTATTTTTTTTCATTTGTACTAGAGAGTGAAGGTTCTTATAGTCATGATTTGTGAGTTATTTCTCAGTTGTAAGAGAAAAAGAAAACTACCAATTATGTCAGAGGTGTCTTAAAGTATATGACTGTCCTCTTGCAAATGCAGGAAGAACCCTAAAACACACTTTACACTCAAGGCCCCTCTTGCCAATTTGCATGTGGATTAAATAGCTTTTTAATTGCTGTTAAATTATGCCAGTTAAACTGTGATTTCATGCAAATATTAAGCTGTAATGACATGCAGTGAATCATTTACTAAGATTTAGAACTTGGAACAAAGAGAGACAATTAATTGTAACCCTCAGATTCAGCTAAATTATGTGTCACTGGGCTTTTATGAATGCGGCCTGATTGCTTTGTTATCATTTATAAATTATACAAAGATTATTTGGCACATTGGAAAAAGCTGGCAGCAATAACCCTTCTTCAGACATTTGTATGCAAAGCCCTTGGGGTTTTCCTTATATTGATTTTTAAGAAAAACAAGTATATTGGTGAAAATAAGGGATCCTTTCCTCACAGCAAAATTCATGACTCCGAATTTTATGCAAAAGAATAAAATAAAGTTCAGATGGATGAGCATTACAAAAACATGCAGCTCTTCTGCTGAGATGGAACTCAGCCAGAGCATGAGTAATGTCTTTTGCTTCATTTACAAATCACAGTGAGGAAGTATTTTGACACTTTCTGTGGAGGAGACTGGCGTGGATATCTTATGGTGAAGCAGGTCTGCTCTGAGAGCAACAGAGCTGAGCTTGGGCCTCATGCAGAGCTTTGCACCTCATCTTGTTTTATGTATTCTCTTCCTCTCTGAAGGCAAAGTGCATTTTCCTGTGTATGGAAGGAAGAGAAGCAAATCCAGCACTGCAGAAGTCTGGTGAGGACAATGCAGTATTTTACACACTTGAGAGTGAAGACTGTCTGGAAAAAAACTTGTTGCTTTCTAAGTGAGAATTTTTTGTCATTTGACTACTGAAGTTACAGCAGAAGGGCAAAGATGAACCATCACCTTAGGAAACTCAGAATCAGCATCTGGCTGTGCCCCTTGAGTTCATAATTACATTTTGATATCTATATATGTACCATAGATAAATAGTGTCACTTGATGTACAATTACCTTTTTCCCTTTTCACTTATTCTTCTCCTGTGAGGCAGGCAGGAAGAATGGAAACCTGTGACTGCAAACCAATATCTCAAGTCTGAGCATAATGTTAAACTGAAAAAAAGTGTGTGTGCATCTATATCTATATCTATATCTATATCTATATCTATATCTATATCTATATCTATATCTATCTATATCATATATATCTAAATCTAATCTATCTTTACCTATACCTATATCTATCTATATCATCTATATCTATCTATCTATATGCAAAAATAGAGGCAGAAAAGACTTCAAGTGTGTTGCCTGATTTTGCTGCTAAAATTCAGTGTTGATTCTTAAAAATAGAGGATACACTTTGTGGCAGAGGTTATTGAACAGAGCATTAGTTTGTCGGGTTCAAATTGTTTAAGCATAACATTAAAAGAGAGGCATTCAGACAACCAATATAAGCATGCCTGACCTTGAAAAGATGGATCAATTCATCCAATTACTTTATAGTGGGAAATGTTAGACTTTATGTACAGAGTAATCAGACAGGGGATTAGATATGATGCTATTTGTTGCTCACTGTGTATGCAGAGAGATTGCTGATAGAGTACTTGTATATGGCAAAGAAATATAATAAGAAGGAAGAGTAGCAGTGAGAGATTGATAAGAAGCAGAAGTCAAATGAAAAGAGCCTAGGAGGAGATTAACAATATATTCTAATGTAATTTTCATTCCTCTTATTGAAATTAGATTTCTATTATGCTGTTCCGCAAAGTGAACACTCTCCTCTAAGAAATGCAGATACATAAAGTAAAAATGGGAACTGTACAATTTTGTAAAAGCACACAGTACTTTCACAGAATTAATCAAAGTGGATTTGAAGCTCATCTTAAAAAAATGGATGCCTGTCTTAAATCCAGGTGGGATTTTTTTCCATAAAGCTGCATATGCAAGTTTCTCAGTACTGAGGAAGAGTTCTAGAGCAAGGAATACTGCCTGAGCCTATATAGGAATGAAATGAGACAACAAAATATCTACCTGTCTTAGGCATATTACCTTGCAGGATATGGGGGAGCAAATAAAATGGGTATCAATAAAGTCAGTCAAAATGTCTGAACATGAAGACGTTTGTAAGGAGAATCCACTGTTCATTCTCTGTTTCATTTAAGAGTATCTCTCCCTTCAAAACGAAAAATTTCTGTCTTATGTCATGTCTCATACGTCAAGATAGAAATCAGAAAATGAACATGGAAAATGCAGATCTTTCCCAAAGGTGGTTATGTAAAAATGGCATTTCATTTCTGCACAGCATTTTCTGTCTACTTAGTCAAAGTTCCTAATTTTCTTAGAACTTTTCAACTCTTTATTATAGTAAAATGTGACCATTTGGAGGGAACAATCTAAATTCCACTCATTTCTGTATCTTTGTTAAATTTAAATTAGCCACATCTGCATAGACCCACCAAAAGCAGTAAGGTTGTATTTTTGACAGAAACATAACTTTAATAAGTGAGAGACTAATTTCAGAGCAGTGGGGCTAAAGATACCACTTATAGAATAATTTGGCTTGAAGATTCTTCATTACTGCTGATGTGCAAGATAAGAACACAGTCTGCCTGTCAAGAGCTTCAGTGTCATTTGCAGAGCTGACAATTAGTGAAATAATCATCATTGTAGGTGTAAGATGAAACATCTGCTGTGACAATCAATGAAGCACTGATACCTTGCAGCCTAGGCTGAATGGGAGACAATGCATGGTGGCACTGAACCAAGAAACCAGAACGTGCTTCGCTGTCTCCTTTATTTCTTCCTTCTCCCAAGCTGAGGTGAGATGAAGCACTGATACTCTGTTGTGGTTGATTTTTGCCCTGCCTCCACTCACTCGGTTGATTTGGCTGACATCCTCAGTTGCAATGTGGAGGTCTGGCACCGAGTTTTTCCTGACAATTTTCACCCAAAGCAGCTCTCTGCACTCACATTTGTTCAGAAATCGGCAGGGTGTTGAAGTAACTGCACTCTGATGCCACAGGGCTCTCATTCTCCTGCCTACCTTATCAACATATCAGGGAATTAGGGCTTAAAATTGTGCCCTGAAAAATAATTATAGAATCATAATGCCATGTATGAATAATTTTTTCAAAGAACTCTCTCTCAGCGATGAAAAATCAATGACTTATAAATAATATGGAGCCGCATCTGCATAAATATATGAGTGAAACCCTCTTCCCAAGCATGAAAGTGTCAAGAACATCTGGGATGTGTTGGTTGTGGGAGTAAGTTTTTCATGGCCTGTGCTTGAGGCATTGATTTGAGTGGGATTATCTGTAATCACCACTTTCCTGTGGGAAGGCTGAAAGGATGCTGTTTATTCCCTCACACACTTCATGCAAAATGCCAAGCCTATGTGCTCTACTCCAGAGTGAGCTGGGACTGGTGAGACTCTGAACCCTGAGTCCCTGAGGTATCCAGAGGCTGGGACCCACCTTCCCCTCTGAAAACCCTCTGGTTAGATCACACAATTTTCTGCCTTGGCTCTGAGGAGTGCCATTTTTAGTGACCACCACCCTCATGAAGTGGATGGACAATGTCTTGGTTTCAGTAATGACCTTACAGTGCCTGTGAATTTGTAAATCAGCTTTAAATTATCAGGTCTATTCCAAATTTGCCCAGTCCAGTGTCATTGGTAAAACCAGCATAAGCAGATGAACTAGCTCAGTTCAGTCAGCTCAGTTATTTTTACATGATGCTGCATAAAACATCCCAAAACACGGCTATGCACTGATAGTTACTGCAACAGCACTTTGTCTTTAGGGCTTTATCTCTTAAAAATTTTGTATACCTAATCTGTCAAAATACTTCATGAATTTAACATGTTAGTTGTTTTAGAATTCTCTTAACTGTGGCACAAAAAGTACCAAGATAAAATCCTCCACCGAAAGAATTAATAAAGTGTTACACCAAAAACTGGGTGTCTTAGGGGATTCTGCAAAGTTTTTAATCATCCTTATTAAATGAGTTTAATAGCCTATTAAAATATAGTATTTCACACGTAGCTTTTCAAATACTGCTCTTTGTTCCAGTTTTGAGATTAATCAAATATAGTTGCTTTGCAATCAATAAATTAATCCCAGTGAGTAACGAACCATGAATGAAAATCTATAAGAAATATTTTACTAAGTGGTAAGAAAACTTATGCTATATATTTCTAGAAATAAGCCCATGGATCAAAGTAATAAAAATGTCTTCTCAGAATTTCTGCCCCCAGATTGCTGGACATCAGGTTTGCCTTAAGGAAAAATTTAGGCAAGTCAAAAATCACAAAATTATGTATTCTAAAATTCATCAAAAAAATCAAATGACTTTTCATTATCACAGTTGCATAAGAGGGAGTAACTCTCAGTTGAAGAAGGTGATGGTGCAAGAGGTTTTAATTATATCTCATTCTGATTGCATACATTTCTTTCTTTTTAAAAAATTATTTTCTTGCCTTTTTTAGAGTGTTTAGTTTTTATTTGATTGTGTGGAGATTATATTTGTCTTATACTTTTCATTTATATCTGAGGAGACAGCAGAGCATGTTATATCAGTTTTTTTTCTTTACGTGACTCCATCTTTTTAAAAGTTTTTGCACCAGCAAATTCTCATGTATATAAGATGCACATTATTGGTAATGAAAACCCCACATTGTTGTCTACACGACAATGATTACACTTCCTCCTATTGTATCTCAGAATTAAAAGTTCAAAAGTCACCAAACTAAGAAACATGGGTATGTTTAGGGTTATCTAGACACTAAGCAGAAATATGCTGTTTGATTTTTGATTTTAAAAATCCCTTTTGATTAACATGAATGGAATTCTTCACAAACTCATGGGTTTCTTTTTTTTTTTTTTAATGCAAAACCAAACGAGGTAACAGAATTGTAGACACTGGGAATGATCAGACTTACGGGTACATGCCATAGTTGGTGGGTCCTTCTCAGCTCTGAAATAACCTTTCTCACACTGACAGACAGAAGTTGCTTCTGTGTGAGTCAAACTGTGTGGAGGGCACTTGGAGCACTTCACATTTCCAGCAAATGCTTTATAGAATCCAGGCCTGCAGGCTGCAAAGTAAGAAGATAAGTTTCATTAATAGGAGAAGATTTTGGCCATAAATAAAATCTATTCCAAGCAGTAATAATGCTGCTTCTTTCCAATCTAGATATAGATGCTTCGATGATACAATTCTTGACACTTTTTATTTTGGTTTATGGACTTGGATAAAAAGAAGAATATATTCTTGGTATGCAATGGGGAATTGTTAAGAAAGATAACTTCTCAATTTTTACTTATTTCTCAGTGCTGCTTGAAATTGTCTTTAAACAACTTCCCTACTATCATTAAATATTATCTATGTTTTATGTACCTGTATTAACCAAAAAGAGTGAGATAACTTCTTATCTGCCAGAGCTGTTTATATGGCTTGCTTACTGAAGTAATGGACAACTTGCAATACCTTTATATACCTTGCAATATATTTACCCCCACAACTCCTTGATGAGACAGGGATGACTTCCCCAAATATTTATGGCTGGGTGTGACCTGCCTAGAGTACCCCAAGAAACCTGTGACAGCAGGGCCACCTCAGCTGGTCCCTGTTGGCACAAGGGGCTGGAGGATGAGGAAGAGATGAAGGAAGAGATGAAGGAAGGAGACACTGACACCCTCCAGCACAAACCTGAAGCTATCCTGATTGGGTTAGGAAATAACCTGGATAGCAGCCAGCTTTGGGACAGGGAATTTGGGATCCTCAGAGCTCATCACTTCCTCATTTACTGGGAGCTGGGGTCCCTGCTGTTCTTAACCACAGCACAAGGTCACATGCTTTTTTTGCTGGCCTTTAAAGCAGAAACAAGTCATTAAAATAAATCTTATCCCAGATCTGTCAGGCAGACATTCCAAGATAATATTTTAAAATCATCCTCAGACTTCATCACACACATTTAAACAGAGATTTCTTTCTTTTCCTGCCAGCTACCACATTTGCACTTGCCAGCATGTGTTGCAGCTACTGTCTTCTGGCTTCCCCATATGAAAACATTAAAAATGAAAGAGCAACTCAGACATGTACAGATTTTACAGGCTGCTTTTCCTCCTGACTCCTCCAGTGGTACAATGGAAATCAGCACTATGAATATAATTGTGAGGTTCCATGTGGCTTTTTCTCACTTTCACATATTCAAGACTATTTTCTCTACAATGCTAGAGGAAATAGGCAGTACTTCCTTTTCTTGTAATAAGATCCAAAAATATTTAAAATTAGGTGTTTTTAAAATACCTCAAAGTATGCATTTAATGGATTCAGCATCAGTTCATATTAATTATCAAAAAGCATTAACTCATAGATAACATATACATGATCAGTTTTTCTTCTGATTCTGAAGGCTTTTCTTGATATAAAAGCAGTTTCAGTAGTAGCTGAATGAAAAGGAGTGAGATGACACTGAAAAAGATAACACTTGATTGCCTCTCAGAACCCAAGAGCCAATTTTTCAAATGTAATTTCAAGAGCTTAATTTTGACCCAGCAATTTCAGCAGTTCTCCTCCCAGTGTGTTGTTCTGACTTTGCTGAATAGACATTAGGGAGGTATCCTGCCCTGCTGTCACTGACAGGGGGGGAAAAAAAGAGGATTTCTGGTGCTCGAGATAAAAGGGGTGGGAACAGCAGGGATCTTCCCCTTGGAAGTAGGCTACAGGTCTGATGCAATTGTGATTATAGTGAGTGGCAATTTTCCACTGATTGGAAAGGCAGCAGGTTTGGTGCAGGGAAGAAGGCAGCACTGTAAATACAGGCTGTAGGCTCTGACTCCTCAGCTTTGCTGCAAGAAGAGAGGAGGTAAGGCAAATTTGGGGGCCCTGCTAAATATTAAATTCTTGCTTTATTTCATATGTGACGTTTGTGACTTAAGAGCTGAAAATTCCAGATAACAGTTTCATTCAAAGAAAAAAATGAGTAATCCTTACTACTCCTGAAATTCAAGTCTGTGAGTTCTGAAATCATTCCTTCTTCCCTTCTGTCCCCCAAACAACAAATCATTTTGGATCAAAAGAAACACAGCATTCTCTGTCAAGAGCAATATTTTGACTAAAATTCAAAATTTCAAAACGAGACTCAAGGAGAAGAGTAATTTCTAATTAAAGCAAAAGCAAATGTTTTATTCTGAAATGGTGGTCTCGACTGTATTTAAAGCAATTATGTTTTGGACATAGCAAGTCTTTCAACAGAAAGCACATACATACTCATGGAAAAGGTGGAGGGAAAAAAGAAATGGATTAAGGTAGATGATTTTACTTCTTTTGAAGTCAACTCAAGTACATCTATCCCTTAAGTCAAGAATGTATCAAATTCTGTGGCAGAGAAGCTACAGGGATATAGGGAAGCTTTTCAACTGAGAGGTTTACAAAGGTATTAACAACCCACTCCTCACCCAAATGCAGAATCTCACAATCATGGCTATTGATACTTGCAAATAAAAACAGCCCTTCGTAAACAAGATGAAATAACATAAGCTGAAAGCCCCAAAATGATCACAAGCTTGGGAAAACTCATCCCTCTGGATAACTCAGATTGATGCTGTAAGAATATAAACTCTTACTTTTGTCAAAGTGGAGGAATATGAAGCCTGAGTCTGAAATACAGCACTTCAGCTGCTGTACAGATCTAAGCTGAGACTCTGATAACAATTTTTGTTATTTCAGTGGTAAATTAACCAAAATAATTGCTAAATTTATAATTTTCCACAAAAAAATCTGCAAATTATTTTTAATGATGACTACAAATAAAAAAAAAAAAAAAAAAAAGAGAGAGAAAAAAAAAGTGTTTGTTTTTATCTGTGTTAATACAGAGTACTTTTTCTATCTTCCAAATCACTGGGTGACATCTTGTTTCCCCTAATGTTTTCTACCAGAAGTGACTTGGTGAGTTACTGATGATAGGAACTGTAAGAAATTTGACTTTTGTAAAGCCTGGGGAAAGATAGCATATTATCTTAAAGGCTCAGTAATTAGCAGGGTATCTGAATGAACAATTCAAAGACATTACAGGTTTCTCCAATGAAATATGAGGGACTAGGCAGAGAAACACTGTTAATTTAATTGGCTTCATAAAAGATAACACATCTATAAATGTGCTCTGCTGTAGCTTCACCAGGATTTGGAAGGAAAAGCATCTTCACGGGTCTTTTGAGCTGCCCAGACCAGTAAAGAAGGCCACAGCTCCATCACTCCAAAACAAACACAGCCATGGGCTCTCTTACACAAGAATCTTTACTGCTGGAGGCTGTTACAGCCGTTAAGTTCTTCCCCAGCCTCAGGGGTGTACAATATATGGAGACAATCCTCAGAAAATGCAAACACAGTGGTCATCTGCCTGGTCATAAAGCCTTGTTTCTTTAAAACTAAAAAGCAGCATTTTCACTGCTCTGTGGGAGCACATCATTGTCCAAGTTTCCAGTTTTCAGTTGTTTCTGTTTCATAACATCTGAATTGACCATTGCTGTGTTAGTTGAAGTGAGAGCAGTCCAAAGGAAACTTAGGAACAACTTGTGGGTATGTCTGACACTGTTGGTCTGTGGGTGGGAAGGCATTTGTCATGAAAATGGATATTTTATAGCTTGCTGAGAACTCATCAATCAAATTAAATCAAAGAAGACTCTGTTGTCATTTACAATGAATGGCAACCATCAGCAGCTGTGGAAGAGGTGTTTTAATCTTTCTGAATCACACACTTTGTTATGCATTTCCACCTCCTATTTTTTAACCTTGCTTACTGGATCCTACTAATGCCCTGTGAGACTGGTATCTTTCATATTTGTTATATTCAGAATGATTTCAATATTAAAGTCCTCTTACTTCTCTGCTATCTGATCACTTTATAAAAAGGCCAATCCAATAAGGCTTGTTCTACTCCACCATTGTGCAGAAAGAAGGAACTATGATATTACTTTAACCAATTTATATTTTAGCAGAAGTGTGTAGAAAGGTGGAAAAGAACATGGAAAAAAATGCAATGAAATTTGGATGCTCTATATTTAAAAAGAAAGAACACAATCAGAAAATCAAGATTAGGATATTACAAAATTAGGACAATAAAGCAATAAGGACAACCTTTGATTGTGAGTACTACCTGGTTAAATAATCTCATCTTTCTGACATGATTCTTGTTTTATTCAGGTCATAAATGGACTGTGAGGGGGATTCACTTTGAGTCATCTTCAAACTGATAGTGAAGCTGTGCAGCATGAGTTGCTGGAAACCTGAGGAAGAGTCCAGTGGAGGAAGGCCAACCATCACAGATTATAAATTATCAAACATGCTGGTTAGTTCAAACTACAAAAATAAAAGACATTGTGGTATCGAGAAAGCAAAGCCCTGGTTTGATTTAGTTCCTACTGAGAGTAAGGAGAGGACAGGGACAGGTAATGACAAAATGACCCGACTTTGGGGGGACAATAGACTGACTTCCCTTTTTTGTTTGCAATAAATTTGATGAGTAATATTTCTGGGTGCTATGGTCTGCACTTAAATGCATCTGTGTTCATATGCTGCAGTCAATCTCTTCTCTTGACAATATCTCTGCTCTCTAATATTTCTATTCCTGGATTTGGAAAACTGATAGGAGCATGACTCAAACCCTTGACTTTAGAGAGGAGCAAGTCAGAGGAGACAAAAAGAGGCAGGTATAAGGCTGCTTCTTCAGTTATGACTACATAATGATGATAGGTAAATGAAATTAAATGTTCTTCCTCTTTGTGGTTTTTTTTTTTTCCCCAGTGACTTTTCTGTCATTTCCACATTGCAATATTCTATGGATGTTTTTAATGAAAATTATTAGAAGAAATGACAAAGGAGATAATCACCACCTATCAACAGTATTTCCAATTCACATCAGTGCAGTTTTTCTCTGTATAAAACACTAGTTTCAATACAATAACTTGAACAATTTTTCAGGTCATATAGGATGTTTTAAAAGAATCTGAGGTTTATTAAAAAAATACATGCAGACAAGATATTAATTATATTAATTTTATCACTGCTTGTCATACTAGATACAATCCAACAGCT